GGGTGGGAATAATTCTTGCAGCAGGGATTTGTGTCCTCTTTTGTACTACTGCATTTATGGGTGTAGGTCAGGTTTATCAAATTGTATTAGATGACGCCTTTTTCCTCTTCTATTTATCCAGTCATTGAAGCCAGGTCAAGTGGGTATCATCTGCAAGTGTGGGTGTTCTTGCATCTGTCTGCCTCTTCTTATCAGCTGGCTGCTTTACTTTCCGCTCTAGTCCTCTGTGGTTGTGTCCTTGACTCTGAGCCCTGAGTCCCTAGGTCCTGCCTCGCTGCTGGCTGACCAAGTCTCCACCCGGGTTCACAGGAGTCTGCTGGACGATGTAGGGGTTAGCTGGCCGCTTCACTGATGTTCTTCGGTTTGGCTTACATTTTGCCCCATTTGCTCCACTGTACACAGACAGTCCATGGCCCGGCCAGGAGCCCACCTGTATCCATGCCCCTCCTCTCCATAGTCTCCAACCTGGGACAGTGTCGCACGCAGCCTCCGCATCTTGCTTTTCTTTCTTTGTTTTTTTTAAAATAAAGAAATCATACCTTTAGACATGGTATGAGTTACAGGTGTTTTTAGGGTTTTGTTCCCCACAATTAGTATTTGGCTTTTAACTCTGTTGATGTTGGCTTGGTTAGGGTTCCTATATGTTGTCGTTGTTAAGTGCCATGGGTCTGAACCATCGACTGCATGGTCAGCAGTCCAGTGCTTATCCTACAGTGTCACACAGGGACTATGATTTCTGTATGTTGTGAAGTGCCATTGAGTCGGTTCTGACTCATCACGACCCTGTATAGGATTTCCTAGGAGTGACTGGTGATTTGGACTGCCAACCTTGTGGTTACCAGCCCAGTGCTTACCCTGCAATGCCCACCAGGGCGCCTGGATCCTATGCAGAAAGTGTTATTTTGTGTGGTTGAATTGGTCACACTTATTTTTTTCCAGGCAGTGCTGATAAATGTTTAGCAATCGACTCTCTGGTGTTTGTGTCCCCGTGGAAAGTTGGGAGAGGTCGTTGTATAAACCACTTGGGCACACCCTGCTTCTAGGACTTGGTTTCATTTGGAAAGGCCCTCCCAGCTCCAGCATTATGTAACAAAACACAAACAAAAAACTACCTTGTTTGCTTCTAGTAACTTTCATTATTTTTTTCTGTTGAAAATTGCTGATTCTCCTGCTACAGTATTTTGTTTTAAGGTATTGGATAGGGATTCTTCCTCTCCATCAGTGTTTCTTCAAAATGCTACTCAATTGTCACAAAAGTTGCTTCCCAGTTTCCTGAATTGCCATCTTCCATTGTATTCCAAGCCTCAAGGTGTATTTCAGCCTATTTCTGGACTCTCCATTCTGCTCTGTTTGTTGACCTGGCTACCCATTCATGGCCCACACTACACACTTCTTATTTTAGTAGCTTTAAAATGTGTTTTGATATTTGGTAGGCTTGTATTCTTTTAAATTTTTCTGCCCATTAATGTTTTTCATGCTTTTCTATCTGAACTTTACAATCTATCTGCCCTCCCCTTACCCTATCATCTTAGTATTGTTACCAGGATCACATGAGGCTCATGGGAAAGTTTAGGGAGAGCTGACATCTGTAGGTAATGTTAGATCTCCTTACCCAAGAACATGGAATTCCATCCAGTGTTCTGTTGTCTCTCTCAAAAACAAACAAACAAACAAACAGCCCAAACCCACGCCAGCCAATTCTGACTCATAGCGGCCCTGTATAGGGTTTCCAAGGCTCTAAGTCTTTCTAGAAGCAGAAAGTCACATGTTGCTCCCACGAAGCAGCTGGTTGAACAGCCAACATTATAATTAGTTGTTGTTGTTAAGTGCCGTCGAGTCGGTTCCGACCCACAGCGACCCTGTACAGGGTTTCTGAGGGTGTATATCTTTACGGGAGTAGAAAGCCTCATCTTTCTTCTGTAGAGCAGCTGGTAGTTTCGAACCGCTGACCTTACGGTTCGCAGCCCGATTCATAACCACTACGCTACCATCCAGCGCTTATCCTATCAGGACTCTTTGTCTCTCTGAGGAGTCTCCCGGTATCTTCTTTGCATATTTTTGTTAATTCTTAGGTCTTTTGTTGCTACTATTATCTGTGTGGTCTTTTCTTCTATGCTGTCTTCAAACTTGATGTTTGTATGTGTAGAGGCTACGGGTGTGCTTATGGTGAACCCAGACAACTTCCTGCCTCTCTGAGTTTCCCCTCCCAACAGGATGTTGACTTTGGGTTGAGAGCCATGCTTCATTGTTTGAGAGACAATGTAAGTGTATTAGCTTTTTTTTTTTTAATTTGTGATTTGGATGAAAGTTTACCGAGTAAATGAACTCTTCCTGTTTTCTGAGCTTTCTTCCTGGACAAATGTTGCCCTTTGCTTCTATCTCCTGTGGTTGATTGCTCTAAGGGGTATGAACCTCCCTGGTGGGACTGTTCATTTTATAGGTCTGGCCATCCTTTGGCTGACAGTTGATCCAGGAGGGTGAGTGCAGTTCCGCTCTAAGGGTGTATGAGTTCTCTATTGCTGTATAAAAAATCATGGAGTGACTGAAAGCCTGAAACCTCCATCATCTCACACCGTTGGTACTGCACAGCTGGGAGCATCTGGACTGTGGTTCAAGTCTGGGCCTCTCCTAATGCTGTGGTCTAGCTGTTGTCTGGACCAGTACTTTTCACAGATCTCCTTGCAAAATGCCGCACACACATGCCTGTGAATACGTTGGTGTTGGTTGCTGGTGGGATACCCTAGTTCCTCCTGACATGGGGACCCCTCCATGGTGCTGTTTCAGTGTCCTTTGTGGCTGCTACCCCAGAGCTCCTCTTCTGATGGACATTTCCAGTGTCCACTCTGTGCTCCTTCAATGTGGGAGTTAGGATCCTTGGTATCACTATAGGGTCATTGATAAGCAAGGGGTTACTCAGTTTCCTAATTGTGAAGTGGCACCTCCACAGGCTAGTGGGAGGGGTCAGTGTGTGTGATACCGCCAAGCCCCAAGATATTTAGAGGCGTCTCCAGCTCTTCCTGCTCCGTTCAGGGCTGTGGAACTTTCTGGCTCTCTAGGCACTTTCCTTAGGTAACTTACAGAAGTCAAGGTTCAAGGGCAGACTAGGATCCTCAGAGCTTCCTCAGGTAAAAGAATGGGGCCCCTCCTTTTCCGAGGCGCTGCGGGCAAGGCCCCTCCCCTCCCCTATCCTTCTGTGACCTCCAGTCCGCAGCCCGCCCGCCCTGCCTGCTGGGCGGTCCTTTTCTGCCTTACCTGCCTGGGGCCTACTTCTCCACCCGGTAACTGGCAGGCCGCTATCAGCAAGCCGCCAAGTATCCCTTCCCCAAGGCCAGGGAGTCCGCGTACGAGGCGGGAGCCGGCGGGGCTAGGGGCCTGGGGCTCTCATCTATCCCCCGCGGACGCGCGTCCAGTATCGCGGGGCGTGCTCGGCGATCCAGGCGGGGAGACGGGCTGTCATTTAGAGGCGGGGCCGGGGCGGAGCCGGGGCACCAAG